CCTCTACTCTGTAAGTCCTACCATCCTGAAGTCTTTTCCTATATTAGCTAGGAATATACCTAAGTGGGAATCACAGTACAGGTTGTCTAAGCTACTAACTTTTTCTAAACCATAAATATTTATCGAAGATGTACTGGTGATCGAATTTGTGAGATTATCAAAAATTCAGATTAGAATGTGAAAATTTACAAACACTATCTAGCGTATCTTACATATTATGTTTCTAAATTGTCATAACTTTGGACTTCATGCATGATAATTATACTTTCGTGTTACTATATGGTCCTATTTAACCTCTACTCTGTAAGTCCTACCATCCTGAAGTCTTTTCCTATATTAGCTAGGAATATACCTAAGTGGGAATCACAGTACAGGTTGTCTAAGCTACTAAATTTTTCTAAACCATAAATATTTATCGAAGATGTCCTGGTGATCGAATTTGTGAGATTATCAAAAATTCAGATTAGAATGTGAAAATTTACAAACACTATCTAGCGTATCTTACATATTTTGTTTCTAAATTGTCATAACTTTGGACTTCATGCATGATAATTATACTTTCGTGTTACTGTGTAAAGTGTAATCATCTAACGTAGTTTCAATTGTCAGGTGAGCAGCCAATGATTAGTTCTCTTCTACACAATGAACAGCATCAATGCTAGATATGTTTTCACTAGCCAGCGGGACACAGTATTCTATTCTTCTGGAATTGTATTAATACTCGAAGCAGTGGAAAATCATCTTTTCATGTACACTTATCTGAGAAAGATAATATCACAGTTTTGATCAATAAAGTATGATATCTCATTTGGTATTAATTTCTAGAATATGATATCACAACATGAAGTTGACAGAATGGCTTTTCTTTACCGAATTGTTAATAGTGTCTATGGAGTAAGGAAGAGAGGAATTATTTGCAGTATGCATAACTCTGGTGATGAGAGGAGATTAACTCTGATCATTGTTAGAGATCCGCAAAGGCCCTACGCATCTTATACAGTATATTTAAAGTAGGCTTTATGTATGATCAGGTCTAAACCACACTTGGTAATGAAAATAGTATTTTGCTCAATAGAATAGTTATTATTAATGAAAAATGATCTTTATTTTCTTATATATCGACTATTATTTATTGACTAAAAGCCATATTGCATGTACAACCCTAACTGTTTCTTCCATCAAACTATAAGTTTTCATATGCACTTACATTATAAAGTACATAAAGGCTTAACAAAAATATGTAACTAGTTGTTTTCACTAAGTTTAGATTATAATCATACAAGTTAAGAATTTCATTGGCTAGTGAAAAATACATTGAAGTAAGCTAGACGAATAATGTAACATGTTATTGATTAAAATGAATAATTCCTTGCTTGTTAACTGATTAAACTCGTCTCTAGTATATGATTACAGCACAGTCAAATGTTACCGAAAGAACTATGGTAAACATTGTGTAACATAGCACCTTCTTACAATTTCAATGAGATGACGTAATGAAATAAATGAATTTCAGTCACAACAATAAGATGGAAGTTCACGTGTTTGTTTACTAACATTCAGTAAACATTTATACATATCCATACTAAATGATAATTGAAGGTTGAAAAAAAATCCTAGTCAAGGCATAATTTGAATTAGCGCCATCGTACTCTACTAACGGAGCGACGACACTCAACTACTGATAAGCGCGGCAGTCGATTAAATGCATGAAATCCCTTTAATTACATAGTCAAATCTTTACATCCCAATGAATATTTTAATTTCACGCTCAGTTATCACCCAGTATCAATAAGACGAGTCTGTCAAAATGGTGAAGAGGTTACAGATTTTAGAAGACAGACATCTCATTGGCAGCATTAGTCACTTAGGATAGAATCACCACGTAATTGAAGGGTACTAGATAAGACACTCATGTAGGATTACTGAGGTTTTGAACCTAAGTCGAATGAGATGTCTTTGATGTGTACTGTGCATGTTGAGTCACTGCCTACCTTGACGTCCCAAGCTGGATTAACTTGGAAAAGAGTTCAGCACGGCCAAAAGAGGACACGGTGCCATGCGAGGTTTTGTGTTGATTTTGTCAGTCAGTCAACACAGTAATTTGGCTAATCAGTATTTAATTTTCTTAATTCAAATGATAATCTTATTACTATCAAGACGTTGAAAAGCACTACAACCTATTTTAGTAGATGTATATATGACTATGTTATTATACTCGGGGTTCTAAACAGCAACTACAACAAATCTTTTTAGAAAGTAAAGGGTATAAGCAATGATGCGCAGTGGTTAGCAGTGGAATCCAGGACGTGTATATCGTCCTATTTAGGACTAGTCAGCTGGATGTACCTGCCTCCTAGTGAGTTATATTGTTCCCATCAGGACTCGGAATCGGGAGCGACCACTTCTTATGCGACAGGTATATGCCAACAGCGGCTGATCAATTCGGTCCAATCAACGACAGTGTAATACAAACAATTACAATAAAAAGGGTATAGTTTAGAAAAAGTATCCAGATAATTTACTTACTTACTTGTTAGATGACAGTTGCTTTCAGAATCTTCACCACAACTTGAAATATTCAATTACAACTTAATCAGTTTAGTCAATTACAAATTTTCTTCAGTAAGAAAATTATAAACTCAGACAGATCAAATAAACTGATTAAAAAATGAAAACAGTTCAGTTGGAATTAGTGAATACTTATCTCTTTGTGATAAAACTTACAAACGAAAAAAAACCTTCAGTTTGTTCAACAATTTTATTGCCTTTCACACTTATATACATCTACTTGACAAACGTACAAATAATATTTAAGATATTTCACGTTTTATGATTAACTAAAGGTTGGTTCTAAAGCTTAGGAGGTCGTTTTATAGTAAATTGTAACTCATGTATTATTCATCCCTTGAATGAATAGACTGATTGTTGAATATAAGTGAACAGTTTTTATTACAGATTATTATATCTTATAGGTAATAGTATCTTATTGCATGAAACAGTTCATTTCTTTGATATGTGATCAACTTTTAAAAAAAAACTAAATCTTTTGTTTTGCTCATAAAATATATTTTTCGAAAAACTGTATGAAAAGCAATAAAGAAGTAATTACATTATTAGTACTAACAATCGACAATAGTATTGAATTTTGATGGAGTTTCGGGTATTTGGAAATATTTCAAATTTTTATTCATCGTAGACTGACATCAGTTAGAAGAACAAAGGAAATCTGGGAGCACTGGACAGCTGTTTCATCCGACTAGTATGTGACTCCTCAACAGTGCGCACCGATGACTCTGCCAGCCAGGGATCGAACCCGCGACTTTCAAGTTCTGTGGCCAGCCACTGGGTCAGAATCCAATCGCCAATATTTCCAACTTCTATTAGCTCACGATATAGCGCAACCACCACCCAATGTAATCGCTGAGTAGCTGTCCTCACGACCATCAGGCTTTGTCCCCACCGGCCATGACTTCTTATTCGAACTTCGGGAATACCTGTCGAAGCTAGTCACCAATGAGCATCAGTGGGTTAACAGAAATTGTAAATATGGAGCATTGGATTCTGACCCAGTGGCTGGCCACGGAACCTGAAGGTCACGGGTTCGATCCCTGGCTGGCGGGGTCATCGGTGCGCACTGCTGAGGAGTCACATACTAGGTGGATGAAACAGCTGTGCAGTGCTCCTAGATTTCCTTTGTTCCTCTAACTGATGTCAGTCTACGATGTATAATAACTTGAAGTAATAGTGTTACTTGTCATTGAGTGATATTTAATACCATCCACTTTTGTGATTTTTGAAGTATTCTCGATATAACCGTGTGATCAGTTTTGGACTTCATTGACAAGAAGCACTGAATCATCGAGGAAAGGAATAACTGTGAAGATTTTCGCTGCTTATAATACTATCAAAGTGATAATACAACCTTTCTGTCTAGTTTATTTTATGGTTCTGCCGTTTTCCAGTCTTTGATTTAATTGGTAGGTTGCGATTAGGATAGCGCCTCAACCGAATAATTTACTTATATGGATAAACTTTGTTACTTTGAACATCGTTTTGGATCCATTGAACAGAACCATTTGATCTGCCAAATTTCACTCAATTTCTGTGAAGTCAAATATATTAGTCAAATTAACCGACCGAGGTCAATTAGGTTAACAGAATATAGTCAGATATACAATGACGTACCCTAGTTAGATAAGAATTCATGCATGCTGCGCGTAGAGTGACTGTTTCAAAGAACTAACTTAGATAAACGGAAAGTGATAAAGTTTGATGCCCGAAGTTTTGTTTATTAAATCGATACCTGATACATGTTATCGGAATGACATAACACCCACTGCAAATATGTGGTAAGTTTGACTACTAGTTAAATCAATGACTGCAAAACGATAGAACTATATATATTAGAGCAGAAAGTTTTGTTATTACGCTGATATGATTAATATGATGAATAAATCATCTTCATTACTCAATATGAATACTAGTCTGTCAAACTAAGGCTATCTCAGATGGTCAAATGATAATCAGTATGATGCTCCCACTTTTCTGGTTGAGTTAGATTTCGATTTGGATGAGAAGTCCTGACTAGGTAGCCAATGTGAATGAGATCAAGTGGTAGTAACGCGTCACGAATTTATACGGTTGTCGGGCAAAACCTCACTTGTGATTGAAGTGAAATAAAAATCTGTTGAGCCGTTGTACTTCGTAGCTCAGTTGGTAGAGCATCGGTCTCAGAAACCCGGTGGTGGCCGGTTTGAATCAGACGGCGATCGAAATTCTCATTCCATCTCCAACCATCACCCAGTATACAGTCTACTCTGCCAAACTACGGCTATCTAAGATAGTAAAATGATAACCAACAAATTCTACTCAAAACTTCGTCAATGAATAATACATATCAGGAAAGAACTATAATGGAATGATGTAATTAACGGATTGTAACTATTTTTTACTATTCTCTTTTCTAATCCCCATTTGTATTTTCATTTCCCCTTTTTAAGCCATTGAAAACGTTAGCTGATGTTGTTCTGGAAGAGTATCATTTAGAAAATGAAAAGAAAACCGCTGAAATCATTGACAGAGAAGATAGGCGAAAAGCAGCAACCATTATTCAAAGTTTATGGCGTTCATCGAAAACACGTAAAATAATTAAAGCTGAACGTAGAAAAAAACGGCAATAAACTTTCAATGAAATGAATAAACAACTACATAAACAAAGATCTCTTCAAAGATGTTAAATACCAAGAAGATGTAGGTAAAATAACAAACGGGAATAAACACTATACGGGCTAAAAAATAATGTAAAATTATACAAATAAAACTACCTTCCACACACATGAACCATCAATTGAGTTATTCATGACTACTTATTACTAACTTCCTTGGAGATAAATTTCCTAAACTTTCAGTAAAAAGGGTATGACATCCACAGTTGAAGAAGTCTATGACATGAGATGACAGTTTTGCTATATATTACGGATTAGTGGGTGTAAGAAAAATAGAACCATTAAATTACATCGCAGTAATTCAATGGTAATGTACTTGACACTAGAAATCCCAATAGTGGGATCTATTCTAATGGTTGGTGCGCACCGCTGCGCACCGCTGAGTAGCCACAAGCAAGGAAATAAAAGCTATCCAGAGCTCCCATGTTTTCAATAGTTCTCCAACTGATATCATTGCTTGGTGAATACTACCTTGGAATGTAGTTCATGTTAACTAGTATAATCCTTATTCATTAGTTTTACTCAATCTTATTCACTTCTAAGATCCCATATTTCATAACAGTCGTATAGAATACAATTCATAGCACATCAAACCTACTTTATATTCTAATGATCTATGGTCAAGTCTAACTTGAAGAAAACATTCAATCTGTAGTACTGGTGAACAAAGTGTACTTTGTTCAAATCTACTATTGATTTTTGCCCATTATAAGAAACTAGTATAGGCGAAATTGGCTTTCATTATTATGAAATCACTCTGGAGATCTGCTGCACTCAGTATAAAGCGTGAACAACATCCGGATTTTTAACACCAATGTCAAGTCAGTGCTCCTGTATGGTTCAGAAACTTGGCGTGTCACAAAAAGCATTTCCAATAAACTACAGCCATTCATCAATAACTTCCGCCTACGCTCCATACTGAAGATCGGATCGGATGGCCAGAAAGAATAAGCAACAAGGAACTCTGGCTGGCCCTGCAACGAGCAAGAACTTATCACTCAACAAATATGCAGAGGGGAGTGGAGATGGATTCGGCATACACTGAGAAAGCCGACTGAGGTCATCACTTGCTAGGCAGAACACTCGAGTGGAATCCGAAGAGGAAACGATTAGTTGGGCGAGGCGAGGGTGACATGGAGGAGATTGTATAAGTAAAAAATGAAAGCTTGTGAGCAGTTGTGGAGCAAAGTTGCAAAGACTGCAGGGAGGAGAGTGGAATGGAGACGTGCAACTGTAGCCGTATGTTCCACTAGGAACCCAAGGGAAAATAATAATAATAATAGGCGAAATTAGGGATTAAGTGAAGGCTAACGTTTATGGTTCATCTTTGAAGGTTCTTTGGATGGATTGAATGATTTCAATGGGTTATTATGATGGATTGGTATCGGCTACAGAGTTGTTGAAAACCCATGAAGCACTGAACGGCTGCATCGGGAATTACTGGTTTGAGGAAATATGTTAACGCAGCACTTTTTCTTGTATCCTAAACTTTACTGGACAAAGAATGTTCTTGATAATCAATTCGTATCCAACTTAGGTCATATAGGTCCGGCATCAAATTCGTGAAAGTTGGAGTTTTCTTATATTCAGTAGAGATCGCCGTCAAACTCCTACAACAAGTCCATTTCTTCTTTCACTTACTATTTTTACCACAAATATAATTACTGACATACTTGATCGTAAGCATATTCATAGAAGACAGTTTCAACTAATTTAAGGATATTTTATAGTCGATTCTATCAAGATGTATCTAAAGCTGTCAGGTCATCAAATCTCTCTTGAATCAGAAGTACTTACTTTTCTAGTTTATAAAGTAGTGTCCCGTAAAGTCAAACCTTTGGTTACTTAAATAGACCGATAACAACAGCTTTGACAAAATTGTATGGATTCATTTTGTCTGGTGGTTACTCATCAGCTGTTTACAGCCTAAAACAATTTTATTGTCGATTCACTTAAGTGTTTGCATACTTGAATCAGTTTGATAGAAAATTGTTGGCTTGACTTCCATATGAAGTAATTGAAAGGAATGGATGAGTATTCTACAGCGTAAGTTGGATAAAAAAAGAGGAAGATAGTTGTATTCAACATATTGAGAAAGTAGAAGAATAAACAGGGGATTATGAAAATAATATTGTAATCAGGAAAACATGTACTAAGGACAGTGTTGATGGAGAATTGCAAATGCTTTTAAGAACCCTAGCGGAAAACGGTTTCCCGCTCACCTTCATAAGTAAGGATATGATGCTAAAGAAACCAACTGAAGAAACACATTTGGCATCGAAAAATATTCTTTTGAATCCAAAAATAATATTGCTGTAGACATCCTCACGAAACGACTACCGAAATCTCTAACTAGAACATACTTCACTGCCAAACTTCAAATTATTTCCTCCTGAAAGAAACTTTTTGGTCAGTATGTGGAAGACAAGCCGATGCATTGGGCAATATCAATGTGTGTATACCAGTTTACTTGCTCTTTTAGAACTGAGTATATCGGCCGTACTATGCGTCCGCTTGTAAACATGCCCACGAACACTATCCAGTCTAGATACCAAAGGTAGAACACAAAGGTATCTTCAGTTCAATAACAGAACACCTTGTGAACTCAGGCCACTTAGCCAGTTTTGAGAACTCATTCAAAATCATCTACTTGGCTCGATCAAACCACTTGAAGGAACTAAAATCAAGTCATTTATCTAAAACCGAAGCACTAGTCATTCAGAAGTTCAAACAAGCGTTATGCGTCCACAAAATGTACGTCTAACCTTTATCTTTGCCATGTTCATCATGAAGCATTAAAAAATAACGGAAGAATTGTCGTGTGTGAATCAAGACGATGATTATCAGTAAAACAAAAGTCTTCACCATGCTAAGTATAGGCTGATAACTGATTTTTTCTGAACACATAACACTGTTGAAAACGTTTCCACTTCTTAGTTGCTGAGATATACAGTCACAAACCTTTCTTTCTCTTCGCACAATGTATCTGCATTGGCACGTAAATGTGAATTAATATCAGGAGTTGGAGGTAACACTATATCATTTCGATGTTATCTTCAGTTCAAGCAGCTGATGAGAAACCAAGAAATAAAACTGATTCATGCTATTCTGTCAGGTAGTTTGTTTCTGTTCATTTGAGATATATGAAGGGAGACAATTAAGTGAAATTTGAAGCAGTTAGTCCCTTTAATGATGGGTAGTGGCTAGCATTGGAATCCAGGATGCGCATTTCGTCGTATTTGAGACTCATCAGCAAGATGTACCTGCCTCACAGTGAGCGATGTTGTTTCCACTGGGATTCAGACTCGAGAGCGACCGCTTCAAAGGCTAGGACGTTATCCGCTACACCAAACAGCAACGATAGCCACTTCTTGTGCAACGCGTATAGTTTTAGTATAATTGTTTTTATATGACATCGTCGTTGCTTGGACCGAATTGATCGGTCTCTATTGGCATATGGGCTCCTGTGCGGATGCCTCTATATTGCCTCCGTTGTAATTATATAAATGATGGATGCGCATTTCGTCCTATTTGGGACTCGTCAGCTGGATTTCCCTTTTATGAATTTCGATAGCGTAATTAGAAGACGAAGTTTATCTGAACGATGTGATGTATTTGCGCAATACAACATCTTGAACAATCTGATCCACCACACATTTACTTGTCTGAAGTCAATATATATCAAAACCGAGGACTAGGGAGAGAAATACAACAATCACCAAGATTAGGATCAACTATATCATTTCCTGTTTGTTCTTATCTTTCTTAATTTTAATCCCCTATCGTGTTAATTGTTGTATTTGTCCCCTTAGTCCTCAGTTTTGATATGTATTGACTTGAGACAAGTAAATGTGTGGTAGGTCAGATTGTTCGATCTGACCTTCAGTAACGAAACAGCGTAGGCAGTTTGTTTGAAATACCTTTCGTAACACGCCAAGTCTCTCAACCATCACATACAAGCACTGACTTACTTGACTGAATTAGTGTTGAAAATCCGGATGTTGTTCACGTTTTATGTTGAGTGTAGAAGATCTCCATACAGGTTAATGAACGTCTGCCTTTCCAATCCTGGTTGATTTGACATCCTCGTGTGTGTCTGTGTCGCCTGTGGTTGAAACGGTGCTGCCTGCCTAGATAGATGAAAGAGGCTACTTCCTTTAAGTTTCTTCCATTGATGGTGATTGCAGCTTGTTGATGTTGTTGGTGGTGGTGGTGGTGTTGGTTAAGTACTGTCACCACTTCCGTCTCCTCTACATTCAATTGAGGTCCTGTCTTCGCTGCCTATTCTGTCAACTTGTTAGTTTTCGTCTGCAGATCTTCGATTTTGTGTGACATTAGACACAAATCATCGGTGAAATCGAAATCTTCTAGGATCTTTTCCGCGGTCCAGAGTATCCCCTTCCTCTCGCTCCTCACTGTTTGTTGCATGATCCAGTCCATTTCAATCAGGAATATCATCGGCGATAGTAGACAGCCTTGTATTACTCCTGTCTTCACTTCAAATGCATCACTGAGCTTTCCGTTGTGGATCACTTGGCATGTAGCGTCTTCATATAGTTGTTGAATGAGTGTGATAAAGGTTTGTGATATTCCGTAGTGTTGAAGCAGTTGCGAAATTACTTCTCGGTCGACGCTGTCGAAGGCCTTTTCAAAGTCGATGTAGTTGAGATATAATTGTCCTAGATTATCTTAAGGAGAAAGGGAAATTATCGAAGTTATGAATATTCAATTTTTTGAGCATTCTCAAACAACATTTGGTTAAAAAATATTACTTAGTTCTAACTTACAACCCAAAATGCAAGCAAGATGTTTTAAACGTCAAGTTTTTTTAAAGGAGGCAAATTGCGGTTTAAGTAATGATCATGAATGATAAATGAATCATAATAAAATTAACTTTTTTCATGTTAGTATTCATCATGCACTGATATCAGTTAAAAGAACATTGCAAACATGAGAGTACTAGACAAACCTGGTGGCCGTAGGAACACATATTCAGCGATGACAATGGGTGATGATCATACTATGTCGTGAATTGACAGAAGTTGGAAATATAAACCATTAGATTCAGACAAAGTGGCTCAGTGATAACATGCAAGCCAGGGAACA